TATTTAAATCCCCGATCCCTCGGGTGATGGAAGGGGGGTGGAATAAATTTAATTTAAGAATTCCTCCTCCTCCCACGACCTGCTAATTAAACGGAAATTTCCAAAACGGATGAGGGATCCTGGGCAAGAAACTAATATTATTAACCTGTGGGCGAGCTGGAGCTGCCTCATCCGGCCGGATAACGGTCACAAGTTTAAATTGGGCTGAATCCTAATCAAAACCCGATTTCTTAAACCAAGGGGGACGGTGGACTAAGCGAAACTATCCGGACTGATGTCTGGGTCAAGTTTTATTCCTCCCTTCCCGAATCAATAGATGCTTCTAATCTCATACCGTGTTTGAATATTTTTCGAAGGTTGAAAGTCGAGTTTGTAATTGTTTTTTTTCCACCAAACTTTCTTTGACTTTTCCTCTCCCTCTGGGATCTTCCAATTGAAATTTACTTAACAAATCTCGCAATAATAAAGTCCCTTTGAAGCCCCTTTGACTCTCCGACCCAGCCGGTGCAGAGAAGATGAAAGATCAAAGGGTAAAAAAGTAGAGGATTTTCTTATTTCTCCAGGGCCGGGACAGTTTGTAAACTCCTAAATACAAGTCTTACCTCTATTAAAAAAATCCGCTAATTAACCATCGCCTTTAAGACCGAAAAAAGCAAAAGTCAATTAGGGAATTGACAAAACGTAAGGACAGACGGCAGGCGTCGAGGCGCTCCCGGGCAACGATTCCGCCTCTTGACGGTTTAGCATACCCGCTCAGCCGTGATTTTCCGATGAGAAATACCGATTATTCTACGAAACCTAATATTACTAATTTAGTGCATTTAAATGCCAGAAAGCCAAATAATTGAAAAAAAAAGTTTATGAGAAGGGCTATCCTTTCCGTTAACGTTCATCACGATGGAGTATTAGTTAATCATCAGTTTGCCAAATGGGGTTAATCATCATGGTTGAAATGGTTAACCAAGATGGCGATTTGGTTAATCTATTTGGTGAAATTGTTAATCATTATGGTTGAATGGTAAATCAAGATGGCGATATGGTTAATCTAGTTGGCGATATGGTTAATAAAGATGTAGTATTGGTTAATCAAGATGGCAATATGATCAATCTAGTTGGTGATATGGTTAATCAAGATGGCGATATGGTGAATCAATCAGCAGCGGTTCTCTATGATTTCAAAACTTGTCTCAAAATATACTTTTTGCATGATTGCAAAAGTTTTTTAAAATTTATTTTTCAGTATTTTACCATGCATTTATAGTAGTAAAAACTTCTTTGAGGTTTACCGGGAATGAAATTTATGCACTACAGGGTGTCTGGCGCCTCCTTAAACCAAGGAAATCCCCAGAATGAAATGTTTCCTTTCGAGTTACATTATTTTCTTCATGGCAGTCAAATAAGTAGTATTGTCGGTTTTATTTTGAAAATCTCTATTCTGCCCCGTTTTTCTTTCTCTATCCTCTGTGTTCTCTTTCTTCTCCAATGCGTTTTGACTTGTGGAATTTGACGTTGACACTACATGCCAGGCCTGTTAGGGGGAGAAAGACGTCCGAGGGCCGTCCGGCCGGAAAATTGTCTCGGCCAATTCTCGACCAATTTGTAAAGGTGGTCATTTTCGTGTCGATCGACTCGGATAAACATCACACAGTGAATTTTCGGGTCCGATTGCTTCTCGAATCCCCACCCGAAGGCGATGTGTGAACAATCCAAACAAATAGAAGAAAAGAAAAAATAATAATCCGCATGCAAAACACGTCTCATCACATACAGTCAAATACCTGCAATAATATACATATATATTTTTTTTTATAAACAAATACACACCGCCCTTCGACCAGCTTTCACTACGTGACTCGAAAACACAAAGAACGCGAAAACGGAGAATTAACATTCCTAGGGTCAATTAATGACCCCCGGGATGAGCTCGCATGGGAACATTCCGACTCGAATGAACCGATAAAAATTATTTCTAGGGCAAAAGTGATGAAAACAAACGAACAATTTGTTTGATATTAAATATTTTTCTTATTTTTACGCAGGTGAAGCGATCCAAGGGGCCTATTTTGTTTCTCATTAGCCCTCTTTTATGTCAACAACAGCATTTTTGCCCCCCCCCCCTTCAACAACCGGCCGTTATAACCAATTAGTGACTTGTCACACCCAATAAAGCGATACATAAAAAGAGAAACCCTTCTCCACCCCTCCTTCAGAAATAAGTTAACCAAGTAAATGTAATTTATAGATTAATTATTTATTTTCTAAAACACGGGAAATGTGTTTTTCACTTCTAATCTAATGACAGATGATATCGTTTTGATTCCAAGATTTATCAGCACAGGTTTCGCCATCTTGATTGATCAGACGACATCATGATTGACATATCGCCATATTGATTGTCCAAAATACTCGTACCTTTATTGATGAGACTACATTATCATTGACCATTTCTCCATCTAGATTGACCATATCTTGAGTGACCAAAAAGTTGATCTTTATTGATTAGACGCCATTATCATAGACCGTTTTTCCAATTAGATTAACCATGTCTCCATCTTGATTGACCATATCGCCATTTTGATTGCCAAATACTCGATCTTTATTGATCAGACGCCATCTTGACTAACCATATCGCTATCTTGATTGCCCATAATCTTTATTGATCAGACGCCATCTTGATTAACCATATCGTCATCTTGATTAACCATATCGTAATCTTGATTAACCAATATTTGATCTTGATTGATCAGACGCCATCTTGACTAACCATATTGCCATCTTGATTGATCAGACGCCATCATGATTGACCGTTTCACCATCTTGATTAAACATATCGCCATCTTGATTGAGCAGTACTCCATCTTGATTGATCAGACTCCATCATGATTGACCATCTCGATTCCATACCGGGGAAATATATTAACATTTCATACATAAGTTTCTGAAATATGAAAAAAATTGATTCTGACATTGTCATCGGTTGTTATCATCATTGTTATCACTTATTAACACTTTCACTCCGGAGATCTATTATGGGTTCGGGCAACTGGTGGCTGAAATTAGATTTTTCCAAAAATTGGTCAATTTGGGCCCATAATAATTTGTAAAAATATTTTTTAAAGCAGTATTAGTAAGTAATTTCGTGGAAAAAATTCTTCTAAATTTTGGACCCATAAGCGGTTGTCCTCAGTCAACAAGTAAAGCAGCCTAGGCAAACCCGCATAGCAACACATTTATTTCTTTTTATTTTTGATTTGGGGAACAGATTAAACAAAAATTATCGTTTGTTACCACAATTAATATAAAATCATATTTAAACTTACATAATTTAGCTATAAATACGTTAATAATTACATGAATAGAAAAACAAATACTGCCTACACCTAACACATTGCGTTAATTTGTTACTATTCAATTAATTTATTACAAACTAAATATTATAACAGAACTTACAGCAAATTTGAGAGTAGAGTTAATGTTAAATTTGTATGTTTCTATGTAGTACATTGTGTATGATGTGTTACTGATTACCACGGGGGGGGGGGGATTAACATATTACTAAGTTTTAAACCAATAAACATATTTAAATAATTACAAACCAATTCTGAAGGTCGGGTTCAGTTTGCACGATCACTAAGTGGCAATCACACAGAAAATTCCTGCAAACATCAAAGAAACAGTCGCACAAAAAGACTATTGAACTGCACAATTGCCTAGAGCTTTCTGGAGACAATCAGTGGATTTACAGGTTTCTAAAGAAAAAGACCAACTTCCCCTACCCGTTTTCTACAAATAGAACTAAGGATGCATACATGGTTGTCCCCAGGTACTGGAAATTGTCTGGTGAGGAAAACTCTGTGTGCATCCCCGCAGTGAAAGTGTTAATATTAATTTTTGAGGCTGCATCGGGCATCCTAAATTTGATTCCAGGTAAACTTCAAGGAATGTTTCAACTACTATGTTTTCATTATCACTTTCATATGTGTATATATATAACTTTTCAACATTGCATATAGTACATGTCTGAAACATTAAAATAAAATTGGTTTCTTGTAATCATGTGATACAATCATTTGTCTTTCTTGGTTAACCATTTCAACCATACTGATTGATCAGTTGCCCTCTTGATAAACCATATCACTATCTTGATTGACCACTTTGCCAGTTTGGTTAACCATTATGCCATCTTGATTGGCTCTAACCTACATAACGGATTTGTCATTGAAGAATAATTATAAATGCCAACTGTGATGTTGTAACCTAAATTTGATTACCAGTATCCTTAATAACCTAGAAAATATCAGCTTTAACACAATTCTCATGTAATAAATTTCTGAAAAAAATAAATCTGTCTATCAGAAAATATAAGTTGGGAACATGATTATAATGCATGTTATAACTTAATAAATTTCTGAATTATGAAAAAGTTCATTTTCTATAAAATATGAATAAAATTAAGTACAGGAAGCCAACGGTGAAGCTGAAACCTATATTTGAAGCAAATAAACCTCAAGAAAGATTATATACTACCTCATTATTAAATCCTCAATACTTTTTTAATTAATGTCATAAAAATAATTATAATCAAATTAATTTAGTTGACTACAGGTTCTATATTTTACCCGGTTGCAAATATAAAATATACAAACTTAACCTACAGTATTTATTAACATTGTACATAGTTTTATAGATAGTTAGTTTATACATTTTTTTGTTGGTTTTTTTAAGTGAAGACAAGTGTACAAAATGTAAATTGAATTCTGTTTTATTGGTATTTATTTCATTTTTTAATTAAAAACATTAATAATGCTTTTTTGTAATTTTATTATGTTTTGTACAAGTTTTATTGCACAATTTATAAGAGCGTTGCATAGACAGACTTTTTTTTAATATCCAAGGCCTTGTTAATAAATAATAAAATATTTACAAAAGGGAAATATATATCACAGTCACCCGGAGGACGATGAAATCGAACTCTTCAACGTGCCAACTGTGATCATTACGGTTTTTCTCACTCCCGCCTCAGATTTTCAAGGCGAGCCAGTAGGTCGGCGTCTGCATCGATCGGTGCTGCGGCGTTGCCACCTCCTGCCAGTACGGCCACCCTGCCTTTGGCGGAGGCAGCAATCGACTCGGACGGCAGGCCTGGAAGGGCGTCCTTGAGCTGAAGGCCGAGTTCGTCCAAGACTTGCGATACAATCTGATCACTGAAATATTTATTTTTTTTAATTGGTAATTTTATTAATGAAATGTAATAATTTTTCATTACCTTTCTTCTTCGTCGCCTTCGTCTTCCATCGCATCATCAATTGCGTCATTCATCACCTCTTCTTTCATGTCCATCATCTCCGATTGTTTCTCGAACTCCTGAAGTATCCTCTGGATTTGCGGCAGGTTCAGCTGCCTAGTGATTATACATAAAAATAATAATTATTATTATTTTTTATTTTTTTAATATGATACCTGTTCATGTTCTGCATGGCTTTCGTGACGCCCTTCATCGCCTGAGCCATAGCGTTCTGCGACCTGAGCGTCTGTATCTTGAGCGACACAGCCTGTATGTTCGCCCTCATGAGCATAAACTTCTTCTCGTAGCGGCGAGTGCGTACGAGGTCTTTCGCCATTATCTTCACCGCCTCCATCTGGCCCTCGTTGGCCGACTTCTTGATGTCCGATATGATCTTCTTCTCCTGCTGCTCCATCCGAGACCGCTCCCTGTCGAGGTCTCGCATTGCGCGGTTGAGGGCCGTCTGGTTCTTGCGGAGCATCTGCTCCGGTGTGAGCTTCTTACCAAACAGCCACTCCATTTCTTTCAAATAAACTTAGAAAAAAACAAAAAACATTACTCATAAATAATGAATCACCACAAGGTCAAAACTCACTCGATTAAACAGACTAAACAGACTCTGAGAATCACTTCAATCGATCCCCAACCTGCACTTAAAAACAACGCTTAATTTCAATAAATTAGAAAATATATTTAAACAGAATAAAAATGAATCTTACCGGAAATCCTTTCGACAAAAGACGAAATCGACCTGGGTGGAAAGTCGAGATAAACAAAGTAAACACTTCAAACCTCAGGCTGTCGAGTTTCACAGAAGCTGACGACCGTTGAATTGGGGAAAGGGGAAAAACCAAGAGGGAAAACAAGGAAAACCCGAAGATTTTTCCTAAAAAGGAAAAGTTTTTTAAAGATCAAACCTTTAAACGGGTAAAACATCCACTTTATAAAATTACGTTCTCTTCTTGTCTGTATGAATCACTTCAAACGTAGGGTACCATCGGGTTATCCAAATGGAGGGAAATTTAAAAATTTGTACTTACTAAATACAGAAAAAACGCAGTGAAAATATCAAAAATAAAATTTTAAAAACTTGGGAAATTTATAAAAAAATTGTTTTGTTTTTTTATATGTTAAATAAACAGCCTCAATGCGGAATTACAACAGTGTCAGCGATTGATCATTTAACTGAACCAGTTCCATAAATTTGCAAAGTTCACCGCAATATAAGACGCTTCTATTAAAAATGGTTTAAATTGCCTATTGGGTCAACACTGCACAACTTTGTAATCGGCCTTTTTATCAAAAATCAAACGCAATTTTCTGCGTCCTGAAGCTTCCTGGCTGAGCCTGTACCGGAGAATCAGACACAGTCACCTGAGTCTTTCTGATTTTGAGGGTCATGCCTTCTCAAGGGATTTGTCATAAGAAGAGGGTCTTCAGTGATCAACCGCTTTCAAGACCTGACACTCCAGCATGAAGACTCTAGTTACTAAATGTAAGCCCTTAAACTAGAGGATTTATTCAATTAAGCCCTTTTCCCTTCATTGCTGTCAAGAGGAAGTAAGACACTTATCACACTAGTTCATATATTACTTGAAAAACCCCTCCCTCCAAAAAAAAATGTACAAGGCCCAAATCTATCTAGGACATGAAATATTAAATTACGCATGTTTTTTGTCTTTTAATATAAGTTTCAGTGTTTTTTAAGTGTTTCTTTTTTCTTTTTTTTTTTTTCGGAAAATGGAATAAGATTTGCCTAATGACTGCGATCCTTTTGTCTTGTCCTTTAGTCTCAATTGTTTCTAAGGCAAATAAACTTTAGATATACACTGACAGGAAAAAAATTCCAACCAATTGATTTTTCATTTTCTTGATAAAAGAATGACTGCAATCCTTTTGTCTTGTCCTTTAGTCTCAAATGTTTCTAAGGCAAATAAACTTTAGATATACACTGACAGGAAAAAAATTCCAACCAATTGATTTTTCATTTTCTTGATAAAAGAAAATTCTGCCCTTAATTTGTCTCATTGTTTTTATCAATAAATATTTCTTTATGTTATGTTTTAAATTGGGAATATCAATTAGAGGTAAACACACTTAATCCTTAATGCAAAACAAGGATAGATAATTTTTCAATGTTTATTTTTTACGGTATTTAAAATGTTTATTCAGTCTCATTTGAATTCTGAAGCAATAAACTGTTTAGTTTTCATATTTGTTTTCTTAATTTCAATTTTTAAACTTAAAAATGCCACTTAGAGCTGAGGATGTTGGGCCCAGTGTGGCACTTATTGATGATGGATGTTCCAACAGGTAAGTGTCTATTGCCATCGGAGATCCCTATGAAACACTGCGAGATCCTACCATAGAAGACCTGGTTCTGGTCACCCAAGGGTCACAGAACCACAGGATGACCTTTTTTTTTTTCTTTCTCTTTGCAAATTTTGCGAAACTAGCACCTTACTGTTCACGCGATTCATCAGCTCCAGGAAGTTCGAGGTGACCAAATTTCTGAACGCACTGCTTGAAGAAGATTAAATCGGTATGGAATGATGGCTTTTTGCTCCCTAAGAGTACCAGAATTGACTGGAACACACAGAGTTGCATGGTTCCCATTTGCTTGAGAATACAGCCATTGGTCTTTGGACAATTGGTCTGCTGTACTTTTAATGGGGGGGGGAGGTTGTAGATTTGCTCTACGATCTCCGGATGGGCGTGAAAGAGTGTGGAGATGGTGAAATGAAAGGTACCCGGCCTTTTCAACATAGCTCAGTGATGGTGTGGGCTGGAATTTCAATGGAGAGTCCACATAGTTGGTTGTAGTTCGTGGAGGGTCATTGACGGCCAGTCGTTTGTGGATGAAATTTTGGAGCACATGCATCACCTATCCTCGATGAAATCAGCGACAATCCTATTCAAATGGATGATAATGCCTGACCACATGTCGCTCGCATAACATAACAGCATAACATCGGGGTCTTAGCCTGGCCAGCCCGTTCTCCAGACTTGAACCCCATTGAATATTTATGGGACAACCTCAAAAGATGAATAAGAGCATGTCCATCACTTCCTGATATACTCCACGATCTTGAAAGGACTCTTCATCAAGAATGGGCTAACCCCTGGCAAAGAGACATTTCCAGACTGGTAGAAAGTATGCCAAGCTGTCTTCGAGATGAAATTAAGCCATGAGGAGGAAAAAGCTATATTGAAATGTTAAAAGACTCAATTATTAAACATTAAAGTGAAACTTTGATTAATATATAAACATATATACAAATCAAATTATATTACAAGTGGGTAGATTTTTTTTTCCTGTCGGCGTATCATCTATGCATTTAGCGAGAAAGTGTAATGTGAAAGGAAGTCGTGGTATAGCTGTGTTCAATAGATGTATCATGTCTGCAAGTATCGGACCGAGGTTGCTACCCATGGCTGTGCTAAATAGTTGTAAAAATGATTGTTGTATGTAAAGCATCCATTAATTATCCAGTGTTGAACCATTGTTATGGATATGTTTTTTGATAGTCTTATTTTTCTAAAGCTACATCACACCAGACCACATCTCACGACCTTAAGTAATCATTAATTAACGGTCACTAAATACCACACATTAAAATATATATATGTAGCAACTGAGTATAGTTTTTGTTTAAAATTAATCAGAATAAACCTCCAATACCTGTGTTTTATCGTTTCAACACGGCGTCGATAGATGGCACATGCGTGTTCTCTCGCTTCCACGGCCCTGCCAAGGACAGGAATGCAGACCTCCTGTCGTTTCCTGGCCTCCTGGGATCCAGGATCTCTCCGGAGCGAGTTGTTGGAATCATTCGGATGCCAGGCATTGCTCGAAGGATTTCGTTCCCGTCCGCCAACGACGTTGTTAAGAGAACGTACGATTTCAAACGAAAAAACGCCGAGAAAAAGGGTTTCTCCTGATTAAAAAAAGAATTTTTTTTTCAATTTTTTTAAAATATTTTTTTTTAATAATAAAACATCCCGACTGAATCGGTCTTTAACTCATATGACCAAAAAGTTTTAAAGGATCATCCCTTAACCACCGGTTTGAGGTCACCCGCTGGACATCCCTAGTCCAAAAAATTTGTTATTTTTAAACGCACCCTATAAAATTTTTCCTTTTTTTTTTAAATTTTACGCGGGACCTCTGACAGGGATTTTATTGGCTTTTGTATTTTTTTCCAGGGGGCCCAGGTGAAGAGAGGGATAAGTGGGCCAACGCCGAAAATTGACCTTACCACTCCGTGAGCTCCTGGCCCTCTCTGTACCCCTTGTACGCAGTACTGCTATTCAGGTTCAAGTCGAGGTCACTGGGACAATTGAGGCCGGCCCTAAGAAAAAAAAGTTTTTTAACTTTTTTAACTTAACTTTTAATTAAGTTTTAAAAGTTTAATTAAACAATACAAAAAATGGTGTTTAGTGACCGTTAGTTGATTATTTAGAGATCGTGGGATGCGGTCTGGTGTGATGTGGCACCTTACTCGTAATAAAACAACCAGAAAGAAGGCACATTAATCCACAGATTTGTATCAAAAACCGAGAAACACAGATCGCTACCTCAACTTTACACCATCCCCTTCATACAAATAATAAACACGGCCAAAGGGCTACTTCACAAAATTATTACCCTAAGCCGTGGATCTTTTCACTACAAGGACATAAAGATACATAAATAGTCCTGCATAAAAATCACTACCCCAAAAATATAATCAATAGAATAATCAACAACTACAACACTCCACCATCTACTATTACTGGTAACACTACATCAGTTCTATCAGAGACAAACCAACATACCATGCCACGGCCTATCACACAAATTAAACACATTTCTTATGATAACTTTAAAATAGCCTTCAAAAACTATAAAACTATTCACACCCTTTTTTTCCAAAATTGAAGATCCCACACCTGTAACAAATAAGTCTGATGTAATTTACAAAATTTTATAAATTGTCCGGCAACTTACATCGGAATTACATCCCAATATCTGGATAAGAGGGTAAAACAACATATCTATGATTGCAAAAAACCTAAACAACTGACTTTTCAAATGCTTTTGGTAGTGTCGATCATACGATTCTCCTACAGAAATTAGAAAAATTTTGTTTGCAAAAGTTGGTTGAAAAAGTTAGTTTGCAACCTAATTAGAAGGTCGAATGCTTAAAATAAAATTGAAATCGGTATTGTCGCGTAGTTTTCTAGCAACTTCTGCAGTTCGTCAAGGGTCGCACTTAGAGCCTTTTCTGTTTGAAATCTATGTAAACGGTATCTCTGATTCTCTTGCATTCGTTAAGACCTTACTTTTTGCAGATGATTTAGAAATATTCTTAAAAATTAATTCTGTTTCTGACTGCTTATAACTTCAACATGCCTTAGTAAAACTTAATAATTTTTTTTTTAAATTGTATTCATCATTCATGTCCTCACTCCCTCTCTTTCTAGCTCTCTCATTCCTCACTCACTCACTCTCTTTCTATATCTCTCATTCATTCAGTTACTGTCTTTCTATCTATCTCATTCACTCACTCACTCTTTCTATATCTCTCATTCACTCAGTTACTCTTTTTCTATATCTCTCATTCATTTACTCACTCATTCTCTCTCCCTCTCATTCATTCTCTCTCTCTCATTCATTCTCTCTCTCTCTCTCTCTCTCTCTCTCTCTCTCTCTCTCTCTCTCTCTTTCTCTCATTAATTCATTCACTCACTCTTTTTCTTTTTATCTCTCTCCCTCACTCTGTTTCTATATAGCTCTCACTCATCATTCATTCCCTCACTCACTCTCTTTCTACATCTCTGATTCATTTACTCACCAATCTCCCTCTCATTCATTCATCCACTCACTCATTCTCTCTTTCATTCATTCTTTCACTCACTCAATCTCCCTCTCATTCACTCACTCACTCTCTTTCTCTTTCTCTCTCTCTCTCTCTCTCTCTCTCTCTCTCTCTCTCTCTCTCTTTCTCTTTCTCTCTCTCTCATGAATAAATAAACCATTAATCAATCAATCTCTCTCCTAGATAGAGATCATACACATATATTTATATGTTTTCTTACTAAGCAGATATTTATAATTAATCAGCTAGCACAGATCATAGACGCGTCTAAATTTTATTATTTATATTTTTCGTTTTCATTAAACACGATTTGTTAAACAAAAAAAGTAATCACACCAAGGGGCCTTTTGGGCCACCATAACCGACCGTCCTAATCAAGCAATTGAACGTCCAAAAATTTGAACGTGAAACGTTTTGATGAAAATTTTTTTTTGATCGATGTATGCTCGTGATTTCACGCTCAACAGCTCAAGTTTTAAGGAACTTGCAATTTTCAGATTTTTCCCATTACTGACGATATGAAACCAACCTTTTTACCAAACATAACGTTTCTACCTACACGAGTAGTTGCTTCTAATTTTGATGATGAGGCTACACCCTCCTCCTCAAAAGTGACATTAATTTTGGGAAAATTGAAATTTTCACATTTCTTACCTTTTACACAATCATACCTTTATTAAGGTTTTCATCAGGGCTCTACAACTAATTATAACGTTTATAATTAATAAATAATAAGTAAAACAATAATATATATAATTATTGTGACCATTCACGCACAAGTTTTAAGAAATTTGCAATTTTCAAATTTTTTCGTTTACTTACAATATATGATCTGCCTTTGTACAAAATTTCATGTTTCTACCTAATCGGGAAGTGCTTTATAATTTTGATAGTGAAAGTACACTCTACCCACTAAAGCGGCACTAATTTTTGAGAAAATTAAAATGTTCAGATTTTTTCCTTTAATTCTATATAAAACCTATTTATTAACAGAATTCCACGGTTCTAGCTATACGAGAAGTACTTTATAATTGTGATGATCATTGAGCCAGTCAGTTAAAAAAAATGCAAATTTTGAAATTCTCCCCTTTCGAAAATGCCTTAATATTTAGTGCTCAAATTTTTACAATGTCCTTAGCGTAATGTATTTTTCAAATTCAAAAGCCCATCTTAAGAGGAAGCAAACTAATAACTAAGGTAGTATAGATACGCCTAGCGGCTTGGCCAGAATGAACGAACTTGAAAAACTAATAATTTTCCATTTAAATAGTGTATTAATTTTGGTTTTGGTTTTTAGCCGCATACTCAAATAGATACTTAAGTAGATCGAAGACATGATTGCTCAAGTGGTAGAGTACCGGCGTATCTAGCCGAAGGTCGTGGGTTCGAATCCCGCTCGTGACACTGACTTTTTATCTCAACTAAAATCGCGACTTCGATCCACTAGGACACCATCTTCCCATCTCATCCCCATCTTTTGAACATCGTGACACTGACTTTTTTATCTCATCTAAAAACCTTTATTCTTAGGTAAAAAGAATAATTAATTAAAATAACTGTTAATTTTGGTTAGGGCAACATCCAATTTATAGGGCATCTCATCATTTAATTTTTTTGTATTTGTATACTTCCTCCTCTACTAAAAATACAACCTCACGGTTTGGAAAAGGTTTATTAACATTTCAATATTGCGTATTTCCTCCTCTTGGCTTAATAACATCTCGAAGACGCCTCGGCATACTTTCTACCGATCTGGAAATGTATCTTTTGCCGGATGTTAACCCGTTCTTCACGAAGAGTCCTTTCAAGATCGTGGAGTGTATGAAGCGATAGACATGCTCTTATTCGTCTTTTGAGGTTATACCATAAATGTCCGATGGGGTTCAGATCTGGCGAACGGGCTGGCCAGGCTAAAACCCTGACATTATGCTGTTGGAGGTTTGCACTATGCGAGCGACGTGTGAACGGGCATTATTAGATTAGAATAGGACTGTCACTGATTTTATCGAGGACAGGAGGTTCCGAAATTTCATCCACATAGCGAATGATCGTCAAAGACCCTACACGAACAACAACCAACTCTGTGCAACCCTCCAATGAAATTCCCGCCCACATCATCACTACGTTGAAAAGGTTGGCTCTGGGAAAAATTACAAGCTTCGTACCTTCCTTTTCGCATTCTCCACCCTCTTTCACGCCCATCTTGAAACGTAGAGCAAATCTGCACTCATCTGTAAAAAATACTGCAGACCAATCGTCCAAAGACCAATGGCTGTGTTCGCGAGCAAATGCGAGCCGTCCAATTCTGTGGATTCCGGTCGATTCTGGTCCTCTTACGAGGCAAAAAGCCATCAGTCCATACCGATTTAGTCTTCTTCAAGCTGTGCGTTTAGAAATTTGGACACCTCGAACCTCCTAGGGCTGATGAATCGCTTCAACCGAAGGTGCCGGTTTTGCAAAACTCTCATAGTAAAAAAAACGGTCATTCTGTGTTTCTGTTAACTCAGGACATCCAGAACCGTGCCTTCTGTGGTAGGACCCAGGTTCTCGAAAACTTTTAACAGCGCCTCGCAGTGTTTCGTAGAAAACTCCGATGGCAATAGGAAATACTGCATATCTGAGGAATGTCCATCATCAATAAGTGCCACGCCACGCCCTACATCCTCAGCACTAAGTGGAATTTTTAAAAAACCATTGGATGAAATTTTTTGCTTGTCAGTGTATATGTTTATTTTTCGCTTTTTCCAATTGTTTGATGTATCTACTTCAAAATTTTATTTGTTTATATACAATTTTTATTAATTTTTGTATTATTGTAATGTGAAATTGTACATTATTTATAAATTAAACAAATCGCGATCTATTGGATAGTGCATACTACACGTTAAATTTTTGTAAAAAATTTAAGGTTAAAACTGTGTCTCTCTCTTCTCTTCTCTCTTTCTTTCTTTCATTTTTTTCTCTGTCTCTATTTATGTTTGTTATTATGCCAACAATGTGTAAATCTTCAAAAACAAGGAGGGTACTTAAGAATTTCCTATTTTTCGCCTAGATATCGCACCAGCCGTGATAACCAAAATTAATGCTTTTTATAAATGCTTTGATGAATAAGTGGTTTTATCGGGTTGTTTTTTCTTTTTCTTCAAAATTTTTTATATTTGTTCCTTTTCCTGGAAATAGTCATGCCGTAACTAATTTGCCCGTGGAATCGAGAGATACCGGGCTTAAACTGGGCCGTTAACAAAAGGCGTAAACGCGATAAATTCGGTTGTAATCAAGGCTTCTGAGTAATTTTGAAAAAAAAAAGAAATCTGTGTAATTCGGCGGCTAATAAAGTTCACCCGTAATCAAAGCCGACTTTGATACGGTGAAGTATAAATAGAAAGACGCCGGTTGAGTTTGTTCAGAATTTTATTTTGACATTCCAGAGACGGTAAGTGGACTTTTTTTTTCAACGGACCTGCCTGTTGCCTTTGTTAAGGCGAGATGATATTGCTTTTTCTTGTCGTCTTGTTCGGGGGAGGACAGAGCTTTCCGCAGAGGCTCACGAGCCAGGACTTGATGAAGGCGATTGTCGGACCTTCTGAGTTTTCAGACCAAAAAGGTATCTTGGTGAAAGACTGTTGTGGAAGAGCGGAAGGTCAAGTTAAACCAACTATACCTACTGGGGACACTACCAGGGCGACCAGAGAAGACAAAGAATGTTGTGGTCGGCTGAGCAGCGATAATGACTGCTGTGGACGTGTTGAACTACAAACTAAACCATCTGAAACTTCCGAGTGCTGTGGAAGGACAGAAGAATCCGCCAGGCTTGCGAGGGAGGCCAAGGAATGCTGCGGACGATTTCTCAACGATAAACAAGCTTGCTGCGGAACAGCCGTGCTGGTAGGGCCTTCCGGTTGCTGCGGAAGGGCAGAGGAGTGTGCTAGGATTGCAAGGGAAGTCAAGGAATGCTGTGGACGAATCCAAACCGACAAAAAAGACTGTTGTGGACGAGTTGAACTTGAATTAACTGAACCTTCTGAAGCTAAACAGGCTGAACAATCTGAATGCTGTGGAAGGTCAGAAGAATCTGCAAGAGTGGCAAGAGAAGTGAAGAAATGCTGCGGAAGACTTCACGACGGCAAAAAAGACTGCTGCGGAAGGGCTGAAGAATCTGCCAGAGTCGCCAGGGATATCCAGGAATGCTGTGGACGACTCCATAACACGACTCATGACTGCTGTGGAAGGGCCGAGCTTGTGGGAACGAAGAATTGCTGTGGACGAATCGAAGAGTCTGCCAGGGTTGCCCGTGAGGCCAAAGAATGCTGTGGACGCCTTCACAACACAACCCATTCTTGCTGTGGAAGAGTCGAGCTCCAAGCTTCTTTCACCGGGCCTTCTGAATGCTGCGGAAGGACGGAGGAATCTGTCAGAGTGGCAAGAGAAGTCAAGGACTGCTGTGGACGACTACACAACAATACACACGAATGCTGCGGTAGGGCTGAACTTGTGGGAACTACTGATTGCTGCGGAAGGTCGGAAGTATCTGCCAGGGCTGCCAGAGAAGCTAAAGAATGCTGCGGACGAATACATAACACAACTCACGACTGCTGTGGAAGAGCAGAGGCGTCTTCAAGGGTTGCAAGGGAAGTCAAGGAATGCTGCGGGCGACTCCAAACCGACAAAAAAGATTGCTGTGGACGAGTAGAACTTGAAGCTAAACTGGCTGAACATTCTGAATGCTGTGGAAGAGCAAGAGAAACTGTCAGGGTTGTCAGGGCGTCCAGCAACACTACCCATTCCTGCTGTGGACGAGCTGAACTCCAAGCCGGACTTACCGGTCCTGCGGAATGCTGCGGAAGGACGGAAGAATCTGTCAGAGTGGCAAGAGAGGCCAAGGAATGCTGTGGACGACTTCACAACAATACACACGAATGCTGCGGTAGGGCTGAACTTGTGGGAACTTCTGATTGCTGTGGAAGGTCGGAAGAATCTGCCAGGGTTGCCAGAGAGGCTAAAGAATGCTGTGGACGATTACATGACACAACTCACGACTGCTGTGGAAGAGCAGAGGCGTCTGCAAGGGTTGCAAGGGAAGTCATGGAATGCTGCGGGCGACTCCAAACTGACAAAAAAGACTGCTATGGACGAGTAGATCTTGAAGCTAAACTAGCTGAACATTCTGAATGCTGTGGAAGAGCAGCAGAAAATGTCAGGGTTGTCAGGGCGGCCAGCAACACTACCCATTCCTGCTGTGGACGAGCTGACCTCCAAGCCGGACTTACCGGTCCTGCGGAATGCTGCGGAAGGACGGAAGAATCTGCCAGAGTGGCAAGAGAGGCCAAGGAATGTTGTGGACGACTTCACAACAATACACACGAATGCTGCGGTAGGGCTGAACTTGTGGGAACTTCTGATTGCTGTGGAAGGTCGGAAGAATCTGCCAGGATTGCCAGAGAGGCTAAAGAATGCTGTGGACGATTACACGACACAACTCACGACTGCTATGGAAGAGCAGAGGCGTCTCCCAGGGTTGCAAGGGAAGTCAAGGAATGCTGCGGGCGACTCCAAACCAACAAAAAAGACTGCTGTGGACGAGTAGAACTTGAAGCTAAACTGGCTGAACATTCTGAATGCTGTGGAAGAGCAGGAGAATCTGCCAGGGTTGTCAGGGCGGCCAGCAACACTACCCATTCCTGCTGTGGACGAGCTGAGCTCCAATCCGGACTTACCGGTCCTGCGGAATGCTGCGGAAGGACGGAAGAATCTGTCAGAGAGGCAAGAGAGGCCAAGGAATGCTGTGGACGACTTCACAATAATACACACGAATGCTGTGGTAGGGCTGAACTTGTGGGAACTGCTGATTGCTGCGGAAAGTCGGAAGTATCTGCTAGGGTTGCCAGAGAGGCTAAAGAATGCTGTGGACGATTACATAGCACAACTCACGACTGCTGTGGAAGAGCAGAGGCGTCTGCCAGGGTTGCAAGGGAAGTCAAGGTATGCTNTAAATTGTTTAAATAAAATTTAAATAACTATTAAAGGGTAAATAAAAAATCCTTGTCCTAACCCCAAAACAACCTTTACTTTCAAAAATAACCTCTTTGCAACCTCCAAATTTAACCTAAACCAAGCTTTCCGATTGTTAGAAATAGAGATTGTCTGGTTTTGATATTGCATCGAGGGTTTAACATTAAAAAATAATCATTTGACTCATAATTACTGATAATTATATTATTATTGAATAAATAAAACAACAAAAATCTATCAGTCATCAAAAAAGAAGATACCGGGTTAGGTACTCCCTTATCCTAACCTCAAAACAAAGTTTACTTTTAAATATATTCAGCAATTCCTATTTTTATGGTATATAGTAATTATAATTACGTAACATAAAGTGAAAGGGATCGAAACGATTGGAAAATGGTATAATTCAATGGGGAAAATAAAACTTATTACTCCCAGACGCTTGGCCCCGTTCCTGTTCCAATTCCCCTTCAGCCTTTTTCGAACTTTTAACCTCAAAACAAACTTTATTCGAAAACAAACGAACAATTCCTGTTTTTTATGGCATTTATTAATTATAATTACATGATGTTATAGTAAAAGGGTTCGACTGGGAAAGGATAAAGTCTGGGAAAAATAAAGCTTTTGGCAATTATAGTTCAATTTTTTTCTTTTTCTTTCTTTCTTTCTTTTAAGTAACATCGTTATAACATTTTGCATTTCTTACACGCATAAAATATCTCGATAAAATTTAAATTACTTTTTTTTAAGGGAGGGAGGACGTACATTAGTTTTTCGGGCGGGAAAATAAAGGGAGACGCATGATAGAAGAACATCTAACAGTATAACAAGAGAGAAAATGGGCAAAAACGGCGTAGAGGTTTTTTTTCTGTTTTCTACTTTCTTTTATATAAAAAATATACATTTATGTGTTGTTGTTTTTTTTCGAAAAGACGAAGCAATTTTCTTTTATGTATATGTACAATGAAAGCCTTCGAAGACTATGAGGGTTTAGGTTTTTCTTTCTTTTTTATTTATTTTTTATTTCTTTCGTTGTTCCTTATAAGGAAAAACATAATGGTAACTATTTTTTTAACAATTAGGCTTGAAAATTGTAGAGAAATAACGTAATCTCTCAGGGTGTGCAACAAGGAAGACAAGTTTTTCCTTATTCTTACAGACTTCCATTTTTCCCCTTGAAAATCAAGCTTCAAGCTTCTTTTAACGTTAAACAGTTAATTTATACTATAAATACATGCAATAAATAACTTCAAATATGACATTTAATGTAGATATTTAAAAGGGGCAACGTTAAGCCTGGAAATTAAATTCGAATGCTTCCATCTTCCAAAACAATGTTGTTTTTTCGTTTCTTTTAACGATTTTGGCCAATTTTGAGTTTAAAATTTTAAAAAACAAAAATAAAGAACAAAATACAATCAATATTTAACAATTTATAAGCGAAATTCATTTGGGATGTTTCAAATTTTGGCGGTTAACCTACACGGAAGGTTTTGCTTGCAACAAGTCAACCCATTATTATATTTTTTCTTTTTTTTAATAACAACAACAAACAACAAAATGAGCTATGTCTATGTTTAAAAATTTTAAAACATTCTCTCTATACAATAACGTTCAAAATAGGCCATTTCGTAGTGAAAAGTTACCCGCTGGCCTAACCTCTTCAAAACGCCATCCGGATAAAGAACCATCGATTCGGCATGCAGTTTCTACATATACATTTAGGAAAAATATACAATATTTAAAGAAAAAAAAGATGTGTAGTATTTAGTGATTAATGATTATTTAGATATCGTGAGATGCGGTCATGTAGGTAGATTTAGAAAAACATTTTCTTTATTGTGCCAAAGTTTCGGTCTATATTTAGGAAAGTTAAATTTGATTTTTCTCTTACAAATACGTGAAAACAGGAAAGAAACCCTATAGAGTTCAAAAATTCCTTGAACGTAACCAATGTAACGATGATGCTTTAATCATATACACTAATGGTTCCAAAAAATCACATATGACAGGTTGTTCTTATACAATTGAGGTTCTCCCTTTTATTTTTCGTTTACCCTCATTTTTCAGTTCACATTATGCAGAAATATTTGCCATTTTAAATGCTGTAGACGACCCCTCTATCAGTCACCATAAAATACTTGCATCCTCTCCCTTTTGTCTGAGGTGGGCTGACCCCAAAATTCCCTGGACTATAAAAGAAATGTTAAGGCAAAACCTCGCGAAAGTGTAAAAACAAGAAATCTCTATAAACTTATATAAATTCACATAATCTTCAATAAACCGCTGGTAGTACAAACGAAAAAAAAGAAATTTATTTGGATCATCTTCAGGGCCTGGGTTAGAAATTTTAGATTTTTTCAAAGTATGTACTCACTAAAAGTGTGTTTTCTGTGTAGATGTGTCATTGTTGTGTGTCGTGTTGAGAGTGTCAGTGAGAATTTTTTATTTATTTTTTTTAAAATTTGATTTTGAATGAGTGGGGAAGGAGGTAGGGACAGAATTCGGTTTTCTATGAGGAGGCTTCTATAAGGTGAAAGGTGCCGACAATGGAAAAAAAGGGGCAATAGTTTGTCGTTCGGGCTTAGTTATCTTTTCAGTATTAGGGAAAGGAAGGAGAAATTGTTAGGGATTTAGACTATGTAGAAATTGTTTAATGTATGTATTGTTTTATATATTGTACAATATGTTTTATGACATATGTATGTTATATATTAGCATAGCTGCGGCTGAGTTTATATGTCTCTGTTCTGTATTTGATGGTGTGTTTATCTCTGTTGATGTAAACCATTTCTAAAAAGTTACGTTTAAGTTTGTTCTGTTTTTTGTTTAATATCAAAACAAGATTCTTCTAGTAAGTAGATTCTTTTGTTTAAGTACTTTTTTATTTTTATTTTATTTTTTCTATTTATTTTTTTTTATTTTTTTATTTTTTTTGAGGGGGTGCAGAATGTTATTATTTTTACATTCTGCACCCCCCCCCAAAAAAAAAAAATAGAAAAAATAAAACACCGGTGTGCTACAGCCACAGAACGGGGGATACAAAAGGTCTTAAATGGCGCAGTATATTACACCCCGACCAATACGTCAATGTAGAAGCAGCGTGGGAAGGAATGTGTACGTTTGATAAACCACCCAACCTTGGGAATGAATCTGTGTGTGCCAAACTTCAAAACTCAAATCTGTACAATCTTGTGGAAGATGTCGACCCCCGGTTTTTCTAAGCTACCTCTTTCCTGACCGCTCCTCACGACTTCAACAAACTAATTTAATGATTAGACGTATAACAGTTAATAATAATGAACTGAGGTGTGCTTGGTTGAGATATGGACAACTGAAATCGAAACTTCTCATTTTCACCAGGGCCTCCATACTTCTTCTTCTTCTTTGATCTCTTCTCCTTTCTTGACGCTGAAGTCTATGGGCATTTCTTGCCCTTTTTCTTTCTCGTCGTCTTTGGACAGTTGGACATAGTGGCTTGGGAGGAGGAAGACGACCTGACCGTCGGGCAGGCGAGACGGTATGACCTGGAGGAGCGAGACGGGGTTGGCGCTGGTGGAGGCGGGACCGGATTCGACCTGACCCTTCGGACGGGGCTTCTTCGGCCTCTTGTCCCCGCCCGCCCCTGCGTTGTTCGAATTGTTGTTCTCGTCTCCGGGGGTGTTGGTCGATGAGTCGGGCCTCGTCCCGGCGGCGCAGCTCTCCTCGTCTTCCTCAGTGTTGACGAGCAGCTCTTCGAGCTGGCGGAGTCGCCTTTCCGTCTCGCAGTCGATCGGTTTGAGCGGTTCGACGCAGGACGAGGCAAAGTCGAGGGCGATCTCGGCCGCACACGATTCCAGGTGCCTCGTGAGTCTCTGGCGGACTGAATTCTCGATCAAAGGCTTTCCGCAACCTCCGAGCTCCGGGCTCTCTAAAAATCTTGTCACCTAAACAAAAATAAAACATTAACTCAGGGCTAAATCTACCTAAATTAAACTATTTTAATTAATTATTCTTTTTATGTAAGACTTTGGTTGAGATGAAAAAGTGTCACGAGCGTCATTTGTGTCGCTGACCTCTCCGTCAGGGCCTCCTTGCAGTACCAAACACTCTGCCTTCACCTCGCAATGTATATCTAGCTTTTTTATTTCCCTGGCGCAGAGTCAATCGCTATGATTTCAGACTATCATATCTACCTAGGTTTACCATCAATTCGGACTTTAGGTTCATCCCAAAGAATACACCTCCCATTCTAAGTAACAAACCTAACACCTCTCATCTACTTAAAATATATTAAGCCCTCAAACGATTCAATATACCTTGGCATGCTGGGGAAGTGCATATGAAAATGCAAAAACAAATCACCGACAGTCATATGGAAAAAATTATTCGTGCAATTTTTTTAAATACAATACTACTACAATGCTACTTTTCCTCAAATACCATATTTTACCTGTACTACACTTTTCCTAACCGTGAGGTTTTTTTTTTTTTTTTTTTTTAAATAGACGTGGAAATATACAAATATAATATATAATATGAAATGCCCTATAAATAGCATGTTGCCCCAACCAAAGTTAGCAATTATTCCAATTAATTATTCTTTTTACCTAAGGTTTTTAGTTAAGTTGAAAATGTTAGTGTCACGAGCGGGATTCTAACCCACCACCTCCGGCTCAATACGCCCTTACTCTAACCACTTGAGCTATCGTGACTTCGATCCACTCGGACACCAACACATCATTGAAAATATGGCAAAAAGAGTGAAAATTTTAACGGTATGTAGTAGGTTGTGATGGGTAGTTGATGCCCGAGTAGATCGAAGCCATGATAGCTCAAGAGGTTAGAGCAGCGGATATTGGCCGAAGTTCGTGGGTTCCAATCACGCTCGAGACACTAACAATTTCATCTCAACCGAAAGCCTTAGATAAAAAGAATAATTAATACGGTCAATCAAAAACCAAAATTAGTACCTATTATTTAAATGGACTTTTTTTTTCAAGTTCGTTCAATCTGGCCAAGCCGCTATGCCTATCTATACTTCCTTAGTTATTAGTTTGCTTCCTCTTAAGATAGGCTTTTGAATTTGAAACATACATTACGCTAAGGACATTGTAAAAATTTGAGCACTTAATATTAAGGCATTTTCGAAAGGGGAGAATTTCAAAATTTGCATTTTTTTATCTGAGTGGCTCAATGATCATCACAATTATAAAGTACTTCCCGTATAGCTAGAAACGTGAAATTCAGTAAAAAGTTAGGTTTTATATAGCAAGTAAAGGAAAAATCTGAAAATTTCAATTTTCTCAAAAATTAATGTCACTTTTGAGAAGGAGTGGGTAGTCTCATCATCAAAATTATAAACCACTTTCCGTATAGATAGAAACATGAAATTTCATACCAAAGTACGTTGTAAGTAAAGGAAAACATTTGAAAATTGCAAATTTCTTAAAACTTGTGAATATATATATAATTGTGTTACTTATAATCTATTAATTATAAACGTTGTAATTACTTGTACAGCCCTGATGAAGACCTCAATAAAGGTATGACCGCATCCCTGATCTCGAACTTGCTAGTGATATCCTGAAGGGTCGATTCATCCTCCCTTCGTTTATTCACTTAATTTAACTATTATACATTATTTTCCATCCTAGTCGATTGTTTTTCCTATCAATAATGCATAGTTAATTAGCAATTGGCTGCAATAATCTTAGATTTTTTGTCGAAAAACATTCTAACCTGGACCAGGACAATCACACTCTAATGTGATACAATTTTTTTTTATAATACGCGATATTTACTGTAAATTTAAAAAAAAATTAATTACTTCTCTCGCGCATTCGATAAATCCGGCCCTGTACTTGTCGACGGAGCTCGAGTTGAGTGCTTTTTGCCTCTGCAAGTGCCTCACAGTGAGTTCGAGTATGTCGGCCTTTTCCAGTTTGGAGTGTTTCGTATTCTGCAAAACGCGGGGGGAAATGATTAATTAATTTTTAGTTAATTAAATTTTTTTGTGTTTTTAAGTCGGGCGTACTTCAAGCTTGGCCGAGTCGAGTATGAGGCTTTTAAGCACGGCGAGCGACTGGTTGATCCTCGCCCGCCTCCTCTTCTCCATCAGTGGTTTGTTCGCCTGGAAATTTTATTTTTAGTTGTTTTTTTTTACCAATTTAGAAATAAAATTTTGACGTCTACTCACTCGGCGGTTTGGCGCTTTAACCTGTGGTGTGCTAGAGTCGGGTGGCTGAGTCTGAGAAGCTCTAGCAGTCATCCCCTAGCATCCCGGTTTACAGCTACAACAACGAAACAATATGACTTTTTATAACACGAGGAAGATTTGGAAAGTGATCAAACGAGGACGGACGGACCCAAAATCAAATGTCGCCAAACACATCTTCAAGGTGACGTTCTCTTGACGACATTCGGGAAGGATCTAATAAACTACGAGACTGCACGGACCCATGTTTATCCCAATCTAGGATAAGCCCAATTGACGAAGCGACACGGTCCCGCTGTACCCAAAGTATGCTACCCAATTCTGTGAAGAAATTGGCAAGCATCATGGTGATGGGTGGTTCACCAAGGGTCCGTTTGGTCTCGCTGTGTTAGATCAAATAGGACATCAAACCTTGTCTAATGAGCATTATACATATTTAAAAAAGGGAGACCAGTGAATTGTGTGTTTCATAACGTCCTGTTTCGTCCTGAATGGCTTTGAAAAAGGATGAAGTCATGAGGTCTAACGACTTATGATGGTTGAGGTTTGATTTATGATTAATTGGTTAAGATCCACTAAGTAGAGGACTTTTCAAGAAGTCTGATTCATGTTTCAAACCGTACCTGACAGACCTTAGATAGTGCTGGATTATTATTACGCGTAGCCCAGCGAGACCGAACCAGGAGAACAAAACAAGTCAATTAGTACACGTCCGATATTCAGGGGAATATTTCAATACATGAAAACGTAGCGAGACCTGGCTGACCTGGGAGTTTTTGTTCATCTTTGCATCCATCCTGAAGTCCGGAATTGGTTTATTTCGCTCTGGTTTGATATCAAGTTTGATCGTGAAACAAAACTAGACCCAGGGGATTACAAGATTTCACATTTTAATCAGTACCGTCATTTTTGGGGAATGGGTTAGCGAGACAGAGCGTACCCTGAGATTACCTCAAGGTTCAAATTATAAATCACCTTGGGTTCGTAGTTGTGGACTTTTCAAGGAGTCTGCTTCATGTCAAATGGACGGACGGTTATTGTGTAGGGTCCGTCTGGTCTAGCCTACCTCACTACGCCAATAAGCCCATCATTGCCCAACTTCAAAAACGTTTTAATCACCATATGATGGTTGGAAACTCTCCCCGTCCACCTGGTCATGCTGTGCAAGGTGAAATAGTACATCAATTTTTGTCTTATGTACGTCACAAGTATTTAAAAAAAGCGAGACTAAGCGGACCCACCAATGGGAATTTTCGCCTCATACGGGTCCGTCTGGACTCGTCCTGAATGGGTTGCTCAAAAAAGGATGAAGTCGTGATGTCTGATGACTCTTGATGGTTATCGCTTGATTTATGATTAATTAGTAAAGGTGGTACCAAACGATAACCAATCGGGTCGAGTTTTGGTACCGATTGATTCATGTCGTCTCGCTGTGCCACATCACTTCGGTCAATCAACTCTCGTGACAAACGTGGAACCACCCTGGCAAATGGAAACCTCAAGGGTCCGCCTCGTCTCGCCGTGCTCTTCAGGGATTATGACAACCGATCGATGAATAAACGACATGACTAAGGCTTGAAATCTCTGTGCCTGGTCTCGCTCATCCATCTCGGTTCATCCAAGGATGAACGAAAAAATAAAAGACGAAAAAAAGTAGTCCTAGGGTCCACCTGGTCTCGGTTTATTTATCGGTTCTGCTTGAATATCAGACCTGTTTTCTATACAGGTCCGTCTGGTTCAATCTGTGCAATGCCAAGAAAATGTAAAAAAAAAACAATACGTCGAATCCTTAGAAGAAAACCAGCGGGAAAAATCACGATAACGGTCGGGTTTGTTTCACGTCTCTAGGTCCGTCTGGTCAAGCTGGGCTATGCCAAGAAAATGTCCATCAGGTACAGTTTGAAGAAAAAAGCGATAACGCGCGGACCCAATGGTGAAATAATTCGCTTGATCGTCTACCTGTCCACCTGTCTCACTCTGTTACGCCAAAAACTACACGTCGAAATCCTTAGAAGAAGTCCATTCAACTGTACATGTATCCATCCAACTGTACTGTAAGATGTATCCATCTGTCATCAGTCGGTATCAAAACCCGACCACTCGATTATCTTTGGTGACTTCGACCGTGACTGTATCACACATTGTGATCATCAAGCATCCAACCTTTGGGTTTAACTCTTAGACATGGAGAAAACGGCCAATCCATCAGTCTAATCCTCAACACAAATCGTGAGACAAAAAGAGACCTCCATCACCAGGGTGCTTGTCAGGCTCTAGAGAAAAGCGAGACTAGGCGGACCTGACACAACTTTAATCATCCATTCATTAAGTGATCACATTCATCGGCCACATCTCATACCTTAAGATGCTGGAATTAACACTCCGTACTAAAACCAGGCCAATTCAAAAATGAAAACAAATCGAGTAGGGGCGGATCAACATGAGTAAAAGGCCTTAGTCGATAGTCGAACTAGGTATGTCCGAGGTTAATATGGACTTGTGTTTCCTTGCTTAACACGATTCTGAAGTGAGATAGGATCTGATGAAGCCTATTAGGGTAGTTTCACAATACAGCGAGACGAGGCGGACCCAAGTCGACAAGACAGGTTCCTAGCCTTTAATCTTATCGTCATTCATTGATCTACGGGTCCATCTCTTCCTCCTTTGTTTCATATTTGGACCCCTAATCGCTTGTAAATATATCATGGTACATGGTGGTAAATAACAAGCGAGACATGTCGGACTGCGAGGCTTTTTTTTAACCATTTCATCTTGTATCGATCTTGAAGCCCGGATTTGACTCATTAAGCATAACAGCAAGACGAGGCGGACCCATTGACCGGACGTGAAATACTGCAAACTTTCACGTCAAAACGTAAAACAAAGACGGCGGACAGCATAATCGACATAAGGCATTACCATCCATCAGATTTCAAATGTTAACCATGTCAAGTCAAGTTTGACCTACTTTAGATTTCTGGGTGAAGCAATGCGAGAAGAAGCGGATCCCATCTTAAAAAATTAATCATAAATCAAGCGTCAACCATCACGAGTCATCAGACAGTGAAACCAGACGGACCCGTACGAGGCAAAAAATCCCAATGGTGGGTTCGCTTGATCTCGCTTTTTTTAAATAATTGTGACATAGATGTAGACAAGGATTGATGTACTATTTGACCTTGCAAAGCGAGACCAGGTGGACGGGGACAGTTTCCAACCATCACATGGTGATTAAGACGTTTTTCAAGTTCAGACTTGATAGGCTTATTGGCGTAGTGAGGCGGCACAGTTAGACCAGACGGACCCTACACAATAACCGTTCGTCCCTTTGACATGAAACAGACTCCTTGAAAAGTCCACAACTTTTCCCAAGGTAATTTATAATTTGAACCTTGAGGTAATCTCAGGGTCCGCTCTGTCTCGCTAAGCGATTCCCCAAAAATGACGGTACTTATTAATGTGTGAAATCTTGTAATCCCCTGGGTCTAGTTTTGTTTCACGATCATACTTGATATCAAACCACGAGCGATATAAACGACGGCATTACAACGATTTTCAATGGGTCCGCCTCGTCTCGCTGCAAATAAGCCAATAACGGATTTCAGGATTGATGCAAGGATGAACAAAAACTCCCAGGCTGCCAGGTCTCGCTACGTTTTCACGTACTCCCCTGAATATGGACGAGTACTAATTGACTTGTTTTGTTCGCCTGGTGTGTCTGGTTTCGCTGTGCTACGCCTAATAATAAATAATCCAGCCCCGTCTAAAATCTGTCAGGTACGGTTTAAAAAAAAAAGCGAGAACGCGCGCAACTAAAGGAGTTTTGATTACTTCAACATAGCTGGGTTTGCCTCGTCTCGTTCTATCACGCCAAAATGAACACGTCGAAATCTTTAGAAGAATATCAGCGCGAAAAATCGCTGTAAAGGTCGCCTCGTCTCGCTTTTCATCGGCATATAAGTCGATTCCGACTAGGATCTATCCAGGGATGAACGAAAAAACTAAAAAGACGAAAAAAATAATCCCAGGATCCGACTGGTCTTGGTTTGTTTCACGCCTCTAGGTCCGTTTGGTCAAGTTGTACTATGCCAAGAAAATGTTCGTCAGGTACAGTTTGAAGAAAAAGCAATAACGCGCGGACCCAACAGTGAAATTAATCGCTTGATCGTTTATCGGTCCGCCTGGTCTCGCTCTATCTATCACGCCAAAATCAAGACGTCGAAATCCCTAGAAGAAAATCAGTGGGAAAAATCGCCATAAAGATCGGTGGGTCCGCCTCGTCTCGCTTTTCATCGGCATATAAATCGATTCCGGACTTAGGATCTATCCAAAGATGAACGAAAAACTAAAAAAACTAAAAAAATAATCCCAGGGTCCACCTGGTCTCTGTTTGGTTCATGTCTCTTGGTCCATCTGGTCAAGTTGTACTATGCCAAGAAAATGTGCGTCAGGTATAGTTTGAAAGAAATAGCGATAACGCGCGGACCCAACGGTGAAACGATTCGCTCGATCAACTATCGGTCCGCCTGGACTAGTTCTATCACGCCAAACACGCCAAAATGAACACGTCAAAATCCTTAGAAGAATATCAGAGCGAAAAATCGCTATAAAGGTCGGAGGGTACGCCTCGTCTCGCTGTTCATTGTCATATAAGTCGATTCCGGACTTCAGGATCTATCCAGGAATGAACGAAAAAAATAATCCCAGGGTCCGACTGGTCTCGGTTTGTTTCACTTCTCTAGGTTCGTTGGTCAAGTTGTGCTATGCCAAGAAAATGTTCGTCAGGTACAGTTTGAAGAAAAAGCAATAACGCGCGGACCCAACAGTGAAATTAATCGCTTGATCGTCTATCGGTCCGCCTGGCCTAGCTCTATCACGCCAAAAACAACTCGAAAACCAGCGGGAAACTCGTCATAATGGTCAGTGGGGCCGCCTCGTCTTGCTGTTCATTGGCATATAAATCAATTCCGGACTTCAATCTATCCAAGGATGACTTAAAAAGTAAAAAAAAAAAGTCCCATGGCCCGATTTAGGATCGTAAAAAAAATTAAAGATTGAAAATAGAACTGTTCACTTCTGGGTCCGCCTCGACTCGCTCTACCAAAACCACAGCCTAGGTTCAAATTCGGTGTATAATAAATTTTAAAAAAGCTGGAAATTTTAGCGTCAACATTTTACATTTTGAACAAAAAAATACGGAATGTTTTATCCGACTAATTTCCGTACTTTGAACCAACTGCCGTAGTTTTTGTTTTTTGGTTGCAATTTGTTTTGTTTTTTTTGAAATTTATAAACTTTCCCCCTGTAAGCAATTGATTCATTTTTTCTGGTGGAATTTTGGGGATAAAATTAAAAAAAAAATCTCCCTGCAAGATTTTCAAAGGTGGGATGAAAATTTTCAAAAGGTGTCAAATTTCCGCTCGATTTTTTTATTTTTTTTTAACGCCGGGTGTCAAAGAAAAAAACGCGTCTTACTTTTCTCTCAAAATTTCCATCCCCCTCGGTTTAATTAAAGATGGTCGTTGAGAGTACGTACCTGTGATGACGTAGGGGGTATGGAGTCTAGTTGGGGTCTGCGAAGCGACTGGTTGAGGGTAGCCTGTAGACGCGTGCCGTTCTGAGGGTGGGGGTTCGTCTATGGTAAGTCCGTGCAACCCCTGTACCCTCGAGGGGATGAGATTGCGCATGAGGCGGCGGCACAACCCACCCCCGGACAACTCTGGGGGTGGTCGCTGTCTTCTCCTCTCACACTTCCGTTATCAACGGCCCTTTTCAAACTACCTATTATTAATATTGTCAGACCAAGAGCCAGTGTGGAGAGAAACTAACCAGTACTGTAACTCTCTTTTGGGTGCGTTAAGGTAGAAGGTCACGAGGCAATCGTTTTAATTGGCGTGAAGATAAGGGTGAGACGTCGAGGAAGAGTTAGGGCTAGTGGGTTAAGTCCGAAGTAGATGTATTAATCGGGGCGTAATATACTTCACCCTTTGACAGTTATTGTATCCCCCGTTCTGGGCCTATAGTACACCGGTGTCAGTTTAACACCGAACACACAATCGAACCAACTACCGCGGGGTCTACGAGCCGAGAGTCTTTCATGCTAACCACTGGTCCCCCTAGTGATACGGCTTGTTCAGCAGGTTTAGGACAGATCGTAAGCTTGTTGTGGACTTTTGGAAGCGGGATTAGATCAGTTCCTTGATGAAATGAATGGTGCGTATAGTAAGCGTGAGAAGTATTCACAGAAACACATATCTGGCTTGACTATCATATCAGATATGGTATTTTTACAGGCCTTTGACATGCGAGCAACTAAACCCTTTTCTTGCCATGTGTAGCTCCCAGTTTCATCAAGATGATGAGAAATACCAAAAAGCATCACTGATAGTGACGTAGTAAGGAGCCATATGTCTGAGAGCTTTGAACCCCACAGATCCACTCCGTCCAAACTGATCGTAGTCATACAATTAGTCTAGTTCGGACGTCAAAAGAGATTTCGGTTTTAAAGTTTGGGAATGGTTAGGGGACTTCAGTGGGGATTCCAGTCAGTCTGATGTGCTAAGTAGCCGAACTGAGAAATCCGTGAATCTTTGTTGTTAATGGGGAAAACAAGCTCTAGTTTTCCCAAGTCATTATTAATCTCAAGGTTTTCTTGGTCGGTGGCGTTTGCGTAGCATTTAGATTAGAATTAAAAAATTGGCTCATAAGTGGTAATGGTAATGACATATGGCACTCAGATGGGACCAAGAATGTTCCGTTGTATTGGTCTGATATCCGAATATTCGTTGGCGCGCCTCACCCTGGAGCAACGATTAGTTAAATAGGTTTCCAGGGTAAGGTAATAAGTAGTGTTTAAAAAGCGCTTAAGTTTATAAAATATACCTGGGTGCCAGACCCTAACAAATGTATGGACAATTTTTCTTTTAAAGTTTGCACTTCTTTGCGATGGAACCTCATTATATATTACTGTGTGGTGATTAGTGACCGTTAATCGATATTTATTTCGAAATCGTGAGATGCGGTCTGGTGTGATGTAGGTTTCAGCAAAATATTTTCTTTATCGTGCCAACGTTTCGATCTTTATTGAGATCATCTTCAGGGCCTGGGATTTACAAACATTGTTTACATATTACAATTACATTTTGGATGTGGAAAAGTGAATTTATACAATGCAAAATATATTTTATATATTCAATCAAAGTATTTCTACTCACTCAAAGTGTTTGTCTTCTGTGTAATTGTGTCATTCTTGCGTGTCGAGTCGAGAGTGCCAGTGAGATTTTGCTATTTTGTGTTTATATATGTTGGATTTTGAAGGGGTGGGGAAGGATGTCGGTATAGAAAAGACATTTTTGTCGTTGGCACGATAAAGAAAATGTTTTTCTGAAACCTAAATCACACCAGACCGCATCTCACGATTTCTAAATAATTATATATTATTATTTAGTAAATGCAAGCCAAAACCTTTTTGAATTTACGTAAACATTAATAAAAAAATATCTGGAATCCAGAAACGCACTTTTAGTTTTTGATGGCACTAAGCCGGTGTTTTTTTGTGGCGTTGAGACGATGAATTGAGGCAGGGATCGCGTGTATGCCGTTGGTAGACCGAAAGAACCGTTGGCTAGGTCCGGGCCCATGAGGCGGTTGAATTCTGCAACGGTTGAAGGGACCCTTGCTGTCGTCGTGGTCGTTGACGGTGCTCCATTAGTGATTGGGGAAAGCTCGTGGGATAGACGAGTCTCCAGACTCAAGGCGTGCAGTAAGATCTCATCAGGGTGGCGAGTCTGAAGTCAATGTGGCAGTGCCCCTGCTTATATATGAAAGGGCTCTACTCTGATTGCCTGCAGAGTAGAGAGCGAGACCATTCCATAACCGGTAGGGTACTTAGCGGGTACCATGGTAACTGCAGGTGGCCACCACAACACGCGTTGTTATCTCGAGAGGATGAAATAATTCGAACGACTGAAACCTTGATGGGTCGAATAAGATTCGTAAAGGAACAAAGGTTAGTACTAACAAGGTTAGTAGGCCCGGTTTCAGTGGTTGAATTTCTTCTAAATGTACATCCCAAAATACTTCCTCCTGCGGGCAAGTATAGCAGCATAGTTTGTTAATAGATGTGTTGGTGTCTCCTCTGCTTCTTTGCAGTATCTGCACGTGCCGACTTGGGTTATACCAATCTTCTTTAAACGTCCATTTTTGTTTGCAGTGTCCTGGTTAATAATCCTCTTAGGATTAACGGTTTGTGGAGGTTCTTTCTTGGCTTGTTTCTGTCCAATGAGTGAATTCCATTGTTCTCTCATTTTCTTATGTCTGATGTACTCATTGATAGTGTGGGTTCCTATGCCACAGAAGGGTTCTGGTCCTATCAGCGGTGTATCAGCCCCTTTTCTTGCAAGGGTTCCGCTTTCTCGTTGCCTTGTACACCCATACTTCCTGGGACCCAGCAGAGGCTGACTTTGTTCTGCGCGTACCTAATATGTTTAATTCGGTTTTGCAGTTCAACACCATCTTTGAACTTGAATCAAAGCTTAGTGCTTTGATGGCTGCTTGTCTATCTGACATGATAGCAATGTTCTTATTTTTGTACCCTTTAGTCAAGTTGAATTGAATCCGTCTCGCGTTGACCTCGGCTTGGAAGATGTTGGTGTATTTTCCCAGGGGTTCTGAGTATTTGGTTCCAGGACCCCTGAAACTTCTTGTGTTCTAGATCCATCAGTGTACCAAAAGATGGTACGGTTTTTAAAGAAGGTGTTTTCCTCTCATATCCATTATTTTTTGGTACCTAAGTTTATCTCGAAGTGCCATGACATCCAAGCTCATGTCGTCCCTTGTAGCCATGAGTATCGGATGGTTGTTCAATATTTTGTTGCTATCTCTCCATTTTAGTTTTATTCCTATAGGAGGTTTCTCTTTCATAATACTAATAATAGTTTTCTGTGCTGTCCTCATTATCGTGCGGTGTAGGGGGATTAATCCCAGTATCTTTCCCATATCAATTGTGGGATATGTTCTCATTGCTTCCGTTATGCAGATGCCCGAAAGTTTCTGTATATTTGTGAGTTCATTTCTTTTTGTTACTTGTTCTGCTTTATCGGCCCAGGCTATGGGTCAGTAGTATGTAATAATAGGTCTTACCATTATGGTGTACATCCAAAGCAGGGTTTCGGGTCTACATCCCCCGTTTCCCCCGTTATTCTTCTACACACCACACATGTCGCCTCCTTCATGAGGGACCGATATGACTCTTAAATATAAGTGTTTTATCTAGTGTAACGCCCAGATATTTGACCTCGTTATTGAGTGTTATTTGCCTCATGTGATCCAAAGGATGGAGGGATGGTTTAGAGTGGAAATTGAAGAAGCCTGTTCGGATAAGATCTTTCACGAAAGGTTTTTAAGATCTTTATGGATCATTTGATTGGGACATACGGGAGATATGCGGAGAACTTTAAAGTGAAAAGATTGAATTCGTTGGATATTGGTTGATTTGGCCGAGCCCCACAGTTCAACACCGTAGGTCCAAATAAGTCTAATGAGTGTTTTGTAAGCGGTTAGTTTGTTGCGTATGCTGTTTTGGTCCCAGTAGGTGTCTAGGTAGTTCCTGCCGTGTTAATCTTGTATGTGGGTTCCATGTAAGTCCAAGTAAAGCCCAAGGTAGCGGACTTGGTTCTTGTTGTTAATGTGCACTGGTTGGCGGGGCGTTTGAGCGTAAACGTGACTTGTTGGATTTTTGTTCGTTTAACCCGATCCGCCCCAAATTGCACCGGTCAGTAATGAGGTTCAGATGTTGTTGGATTGCTTCTGTTGCTAGGATAGGATTGGAGTGTGTTGATAAGATAGCGGTGTCCTCCGCGTAGGTTGTGAGTTGTGTGTTTGGATCTGTGGGTGCAGTGTACACGATGAAGAGGATTGGGCCTAGGATACGTTCTTGAGGTACCCCAGCTTTGATTGGCGTGATGGGTGATTCTCTTTGACACCGAGAGTCTGGCTTCAACTTATCTTTATAAGTTTGGTTGTAATATTTCGTTAATAGCGATAGATTCGCGTCTCCGGGAACCCCAGAGGCAGAGTTGTTAGGCTGGTAGCTAAGGCTCTTAACTCACAGTTCTTCGTTCTTGGATCTTAGTTGTCGGTTCTTCGTTGATGGATTATCGTTCACAGATCGTCTTTCATGATTCAATAATGGTTCATGGATCCACGTTCATGGATTCACGATTCTTTGTCCATGGATCCTCCTTCAATCACGGTTCTTCGTTCATGTATCACTCACATTAATGATCCCGTTTGCATATCCTAGTTCACGGTTATTCATCGACCTCGTTCTTGACTCCGTAACGGTTCTCTATTCTTTCACAGCTCTTCGATCTCAAGACATCCCAGTACCATTGATTTTTGTTACTGCCAAAGTTTGATAAATGCCATGTTTAAATGATAAATGTTTACGTCATAGTCCTCGTAATCGTTGCGTTGTATCATGATAGAAGGCAAATCAAAAGAAATTTGTGAAGGAACCGCCAGTACTCGCTACTTTTTCTTAATTCAATCAATTTGTATCAAATTCTTATAAAAAGTACAGACTTCATAATTTTCCTCTAGGTTATTGGTCATGTGGTGATCCGCCTGTACTCGCTATTTTTCACCAACATGTTTGCCCTGAGGTACGTTGTATAATATGAAAAAGTTTT